GAAACACAAACCAGCGCAGGGAGGGACGAAGTGTAGTAGATGGTACGTAGCGATATCAGTCGGGTAGGCCAGAAAGAGAGAGGGAGAGAGAGAGAGAGGAAACCACACGAGCCGAGGACGCGAGGTGGACCGGAAAAAAGGGTTGGTGCGACACTGGCGAACGATCTGCGACCGAGGTGTAGGAGCGGAGGATTCTCGCGGGATAGGGAGGCCGTCGGGAAGGGGGGGTGGGAGAGGCGTAAAGGACGCGGCGAGGAGGAGCCCTGGTAGCGGCGATGTCCTCACATTAAGAACTCGTTCTCTTATCGGCGATGATTTATGGCGGCATTCAATTTTTAGACCCTCGTCGAAAGGGAATCGCCGAAATAAATATGGCCACCGCTACGTCCCACCGATCTCTCGGACACGGCTCACGCGAAGGGGGACAGATGTTTTCACCGATCGCGCGTAGCTCGGACTCCCAGCCTCGGCTCCAGATGTCGAGGAGCGATTTCTGGCGCCTACTTGAGTTTCCACGGCTCGGCCGTTTTTCTGTCGACGTCCCCCGGCCTCGGAGAAGTACTTTACGATTTATCGCGACCTCCTGTTTCTCGTTTATGGTTGTGATTAAACGGCCAGACTTACGCGACGAGATATGTACAGGCGAGAGGCTTGCCGCCGCTTAAATCCCGCGTAGATCACCGCCATGCGGTGCCATAATTTCGTGCAACACCGAAGGCGCATTACGTTACGCGGATCGTTTTACGGGTATAACTTTCGAGAAATGAGCTTTCGAAAGAGTATCGAGAGAGTCGAGAGGACTCCCCCTTCCCTCCTCCCTTGAAATGAAGCTTGAAATCGGATTCTTTATTAAACGCCGACTGAGAATCACTGGATCGTTCAGTCGCATCAAGTCGGAATGTATTCATTCATCGAGTTAACGCACGCTCAATTTGTCCGGGACTTGTCAGGCGCGGTGGAGAAGGATACCTTAATAAATTGTTGCCATGTTCTCCGTCCGAGTATTTCGTCTTTTTCAGGAGACATTTGTGGCGACCGGGACACCGCGTTTCGACTTTTTGCGAGATGTCATTGTCTCGCACTCGCGCCGCAGTTCCTTTAGAATATAAAACTTTGTGACTTTATTTGACGTTTCTCTTTTTTCACACAGAGAATTAAACGCGAATTATTCGACAAAATGGATATTTTTAGTTTTCAACTTGATTTTCTTTCGATCATTTTTCGAGGTTTTTATGATAATTATGTTATGAATACAATACTCGTCATTTTGTAAAGAGATACGGAATAAATTTTCGACGAGCAAGTGATTTGCATGAATTGATTCTATTTAAACGTGGAATAATATTTTTTTAATACAAATCAATATTCAATTTCTATTGAAAGAAATGATTTAATTTTGCGGATTGGTTCATGTACACGTTATTTCCTCATAAAAAAATTTATCGAGCTTCTGTAAATGCTCTGCAAAACCGATAGCTTGTAACGCAAATTGTATCGCGTCGCGAGCGCAACATCTTCGAGAGAGAGAAAACACAAGCGTTAAATTAACGTTACTTTGTTTCACCTCTGTTTCACCTCATCTGCCTTTGTAGCCATTCTTTTACCGAGAGAAATATATATTTAATAAGAGCCCGCGTATAGGGCTGTCGCGAAAGCCGCGCGCGGAATCAATTTCATTTTTCAATTTCATCCGGCCGTAGGAGGAAAAGCCACCTCGACGAAGGAAACGTACCATTTTTGCGTCTTACGTATATACGCGCGAGTAGGAGGATCAGGAGCTTTGCTCTCTATGATTACGTGCGCTAGTTTTGTGCCGGACAGACAATAACGCAGCCCGACTTGACCTAACCCAAATAACTTTATCTTGCCCAATAATACTAGCCGAGTCTGATATTTTTACCGTCCCGACGCCGCCGCCGCCGCTGCCGCCGCCGCCGCCGCCGCAATTTTCCGGCCAAGAACTGCTGACAGCCGCCAAGAAAGATGTACGTCGAAAATGAGATTTTCATCTGGATCACCCGTAACGTCGTCGTTTCCTCGCCAACGCGGAGAGAGAGCCGCGGAGAGCTCGCCGGTCGTGGCGAGTAGAAGTAACACGGTAGCCGAGCAGTGGCTTTCCATGTTCGTATAATTGTTTCTTCAATTATGTACAGGGTTAACGACGCTTACTCGGGAAGTCGCAATTTCTGCATGCGCCGGTTTTTCTGGAGCACGAGTAAATTCCGTTTTAATTAGTCCGGGCAATTCGCGACGGCGCATAAGACACGCGGCGATTTCGAGAGACTTTCTTATTCTCGCGTTCCCGGAAAATCATAACTTTGAAGCTAAAAACTTTACAGGACAGAATAAATAAGGCGGCGGAATATTTTATCGTCCTGTATCGCGTCTCGTGATCGTAAACGCTCACAATTCTCCTCTTCGTCTTACATCACCGGCGTTCTCGCGCTCATCGAGATATAAAACTAGGTCCTATATTAGTAATAAACGAGCTAATTGCGTCATTGCGATATCACGAAATAGACGGTAACACAACGCGCGATATCGTCGTGAAGATGCATTCGATTTTTCGGTCGGAGGGAATCTCATGAAACAGCGAATACTTGTCGTAAAAATTTACGATCCTGAACGAGAACCAGACAGGCCTTATCTTTTCTTTCACACCCTAAATGACCGACACGAGTCAGCTTTTCTCTCTCTTTCTCTCTCTCTCTCTCTCTCTCTCTCATTCTACCTTAGTATATGTCGGAGGACTTCAGACAATTTTCGTCGGCGATCCTTCTCGTTCCTTCGCCATCCCGTCGTCCTTTTGCGCCGCCAGTTTCTCGGTTCATCGCCGCACATCTCCCGCGCCGTTCCGTGTTTTTCCCCTTTCGTCGTCGCTTCATCGTCATCGTCGTCGTTGTTCGCCATTTCATTTTTTTCGCTTCTCCGCCGAGGGTCACCGAGGCTGGAACCGTTACGAACCGTACAGAGGAGATCATCGGAATCCAGGATTCCCCTCGACTTCGGTGCCTGGAATGCCGTGAACATGCGCGACGGGGACGGACTAGCGTTTATTAAGCATGACCGAAGCGCGTATCCCCCACGGTCTTTTGACTACGCCGCGAGAAAAATTCGCGCGTGTGTTCGTGCCCGGTCGTTTTGCAGACGACAGAAACTTGATGTCCTTCACGCGCTCGCGAAGACCGCAGGAAGATTTGACGGCGCGCTTACACGCACGAGTAAGGTTTCTACGATCCGTGTGATAATGGCAAGCTATCGTATTATAAATTCGATCCTATCTTCTTAAGCGATGTTTTCGATACAAAGTAGAAATATTGCACATTAAGCATATATTATTGTTATTAATCTTAAACTTAGAAAAATCAAATACCAATTCCGCTAATATTAATTTTCTTTCTGGTTATTTAATTATTTTTTGCCTCTTTTTCGAATGAGAACTACACAACTTTTAAAAATAAGTAGAAAAGTCGGAAATTCTTATTACTTTCTTATTACTTTTAGCATTTAAGAGTGAATTTCTGCTTTCATAATTATCGCTATCATCATTCTACTTAATAAAATATCTTTTTGAGTTTTTGAGGCGACTAATTAGCATCCCAATTAGTAACTTATATCGCACATGAAGATTTATTTTAATATATCGTGTCACATCGTGAGCCGAATCAGAAACTTGAAAAAGGTCGATTTATGAACTTCTCTGCGTGAAAAATTCAAAGAGAAAAAATAGTTGATATTCTCGTATAACCGTACTATTATGAAATACACCTTTCTCTGAAGTGATACATTGACTTCTCGTGTTTCTACGAAGTCGAGTGCATTGTTGGAACTTACTTTCACTTTTTTCCTGATAAAAAATTTCAACTTGTTTCAAGTGATTTTTAAAACATCGAATATAAATTATAATTGTAATTCGAAATCATTAGTACATTTATTATCAATGTTAGAAAATAAAAGAGTGATACAGAATATATATATTTTTTTTATAACGAATAGATATTTATCAACTTTGACGCAACTGTGAAAATTGCTTAATAACTGTAGATATAAAATTAAATTTACGTAAAACAAGAGTATGATTTGTGGATAGATCGTTCATGCTATGTGTCGCGAATTTCGAGTATCAAACTCATCAACTTCGCTCCAATCGATGCGTATTTATTCGTGTGTTTTTGAATGCTAAGTCAAACGAAAATTTACGCGGTTGTGAGCCATTCCTCTTTGATAGGTACTCTTTCGAATGTTCACAGCAGCGATTTATATGTTCGGGCAGCGCGGTAAAAGCGATGTTGTGCCCTGGATGGACAGCCATCCAACAGTACGCTCAATATTTCGATATTTATGAACAACTGCCATTTTGCCGAGCTTTATCGCGATAGTAATGGAGATAAATATGTGCAATCGTAAAAGGGCAGGCATCCGCCTCCAATTATTATTACAATAGAAGCTGATTCATCTCTAATGAATTCATTATTTTTTTTTAAACACAAGCAGCCAATAGAAAATTTTTACCAAAATACAGATATTGCGATAAATTGCTACCATTCTGTGCACTCTGTTTTCTGTAATTAAAATTATTTTTATATTATAAAAATTGTAAAAAACTATATAGTACATTCACACGTTTTTGATATTTCTATAACAATGATAATAGAATAGTAATAAAAAAAGTATTTATTAAAAATAATTAAAAGACCATGTCGAAAAAATAAAATAAAATGAAAAATGAGTTTTAGAGAGAGTGATGTGTAGAAAATTTAATGATTTAACAGAAAAAAATATTGTTTCATAAACTCGTGAATAGAATCAAATAATTTTGAGATCTGTTTTATTTAATAGTAATATAGGTCATTGTTTATAATTATACAGTTTAATCGATCTTGACACATATTATTAAAGTTGAATAACATAGAAAAGATTTAAACTGTTGCTTGATACTATTATTTTTCACAATCCTGTTTTGAACGCTGTTGCAATATAAATGTGTTTATGTTTTACAGATAAATTTTGGTGTCGTGCTTCCAATCATTATATTCGTTTCGTCGTAATTTCGTAATATTAAATGAGTGTCGGGAGTGTCGTTAATGCCGGGAGTGCCGTAATAGTTTCGCGCGAGTACGAAACGCCGTTCTAGCGAATCGTAAGACGAACGCATTTCACCAAATGATTAATATTGGGACACGATTAAGGGATTTTTTTCTTCTTTATTTTGGGCTTGGCTTTGGGGGATAACTATTTGCACCTTATCTTCTTTGAACTTACCTTTTATCTTCCGTTTTGAAAGATTCGTGCCCCAATTGGAAAATGCGGTCGTCTAAAACGCGGACGGAATTCGCGCGTAACGTTGCAAGTTGTACAGTTCGGTTCGATTCGCCTGCGACGTCGGGAGTGTCGTTTAAAGAATCGCGCGATTTTCGTATTCGGACACGCTCGCGAGCAATGCGAGCATTATCGCGGACGCGTGTGAGTGCCATGAAGAAGCAGGAGGCCCAGGGGGCATCGGGCGACGTCGAAGCAACATTGTGGTAAGTAGTTCATCGCAAAATATGTGACCTTTTTAGCAATGGTGGAGGGATTAATATGAGAGTTGTCTTATGTAAGCTGTATTTTTTATTACTGAAATTATTTATGATAACGTAAAAATTTATATTTGAAACAGTAGAAATGTGAATTTAAGACAGCGTGAAAAAATAATATTGCAATGCAATGCAAAAATAACAAACAGATTTTATTTTTTTATTTTTTATTTTTTTATTGTTTTTGTTATGATAATATGATATGTTTATGTATATTACATTTACGCGTGTGAGGTAATATTATTGCGAAAAGATGAGTAAAACTTGTTATTATACAATTCGAAGCGCGCATTAGGATGCTGGAAATCTAAATTCTGTCCATTTTCATGATATTAGTTGTTTTATTTACGTCGCTTTAACAAAGTTAGTCAACAAAGACTCATTTCAAATCGAATTTGCAGTTTCGCCGGACAATAAAATTGGTCAACACTTGCTTGTTGGGAACTCATTTGCATTATCGATATTGTCCAACACGGTGAGCCGGCAAGTTAGATAAGGAAATTGTAAATCCTTTTTCTGATAAATAACGTTAGTATTTCTTGCAAAGAGTATATCGTGTCTTGTTATTTTATAGTCGAACGTAAAATTGAGGGGATGAAAAATCTTCTTTCTATTGACTTCCGCGTTAGAGTGCTCGAATTTCTTAAGCGTAGGAAATGCAGCTATATACATTACGAGCCTTTTCCGTGTTAGACTTATAAGCATTTCGCTTTATTTTCTTAATGATGCGCATCCAATTAGCGGCTTCACGCTGCCATGTCACTGCCTTTCATTTGTCATCTGTTGGATCTAAGTACCGATGAAAGCCATATATTCTATCTAAACTTTCTTCACTTCGCGGCTGTCCTCGATCACGATGACACGCCGCGAACGTGCACGGTCATCGCGACGGAATAGATCATCTGATGATGCCTTCTCATGCACAGGCCACCCCCTAAAATTTGACATCTTCGTAAGACTGGTTTTTCTTCTTCGAAATGATTCATAAGGTGTTATCAAAACATTCCAAAATGAAAGAGGTGGAAAATAAAGTTGAAAATTGTTGCTGTATAAAATGTAAAGGACGGTTTAGCTAGAACAAGTAAGATAAAGTTTGTTATACGCAGTAATTTATATAAAGGATGTTTGATGTGCATCGAACTTCCGAAATGTATCGTTTCGCAAATTTCGAGTTAATCTTTTCTTCGCTAAAACTTTAACTGATAATCACGGAGCTGTTTAATGTTGAAAATTGAAAGTTCTTCGCCAATTAATCTTCAGAGGCGTGAACGGATAACAAACTACTATTCATATATATATTAATTAACTTCACGAAGACTTCGTTTTAATTCAAGAACGTTAAGTCTTCAAGATTATCACATTAGATTAAAAAATTGCAAGTAAAAGGTGACGTTACGATCAAAATGTTAGGAAGAAAAAATTCTTTCTATATTTTCAATTCATATAGCATTCTTTTGTTTTCCAACAATTTTTTATTTTTTCAGAAATGGGAGCTAATATAAATCAAAGTGTCTTGTATGAAAAGATTTAGAGTATTGTGATGTTAAACGTTAGATTTGCTCGAGGACACCTGTTGGTTACATGTGCTGAACTTTTGTTGCCGTCGACAAACTTGTTTAACTGTAGTTTTGATTCCGCCAGAACGACACGGTTTACCCCTTACATCGCTACAAAACGCTCTCGATTCTCCCGTCCTGTCACCACTACACACTGCTCAAGATGTATTGTGCTTACGGAATGCACAAAAATAGTATCGCCCGTTCTCAGGAGCGTCGACAAATCGACCACGACGCGCTGTTAATTGCGCGAGCGAACAGGGTTCGCTTCGAAAATTTAGGAGCTGCCTAAAAATACGCGTGTGTTTCGAGATCCCGCTCTGTTCTCTCCGTCGTTGTTTCTGGGCGCATGTCGTGAGAAGGGTACCCGAGGAGTTGCGATCCCACTTAATTGTTCGTCGAGGTCGGGGGATAAGCGGCCGGGACGTTCTCTGGAATGCGCGGGTGATTAAGAAAGGTGTCGCAGCGATCCGGTGCAGTCGTTCCTCGGAAAATTGTCGGGAAAACGACCGACAGTGGGAATGACGACGGCGACGATGAAGTTGATTCTATTATTAAGAGGCGGGTCTTCCGCGAACCCCGGGACGGGAGTCCGGACGCGACTTTCACGCTGCGCGCTCGCGAACCAATTTTCGGTAGACGCGTGCATACGCGTCACTTCCCTTACGGCTTTTTAATTAGCCTTTTCCTCCAAGTTAACGAGCACGTTCCTCGCTCGTCAGCCTGGCGGCAAAATACGCGGATATCGTTTCGGTGGAACGAGTGCGCAGGCGAGGGAGGTCCATCGGCGAGGACTATTTTTGAGAGCCACTCCTCGCTTCGCGCGGCGATACACGGCCTATTTATTCTGCCGCTAAAAGTAGTCACCGCCCGCTTGCTCGCCGGCGAAGCACGTTCGCCGTATCCTGATTCTCTCCCTCCCTAAGTTCAAGGTAATCGTGCGCGGGAGTATTTACGTTGCACAGCTCCGAGGGTAATTTATCGGTCCACATTTTTTTTTGGAATGGAAGACGCGTTCCTCTTCACGAGCCGTCGATTCTCGAGAACTCGCGCGCGCGCGCGCGCGCGATTAATGGAAACGAAGACTTTGATGTTGGAATTTATATATCGGGCCGATTCCGCTGTGTGCCTGTGCGTACCGAGATGCGTTATCGAACTGTGTACTTTTCTCTCTGACTGTTTGGAAATCATTTACTTTCATATCTCCTCGCAATTATACACGCTTTAATGGCGATCTCTTTATTGGCAATGTGTAAAAAAGAAACCAGGGATGTAAAACAAAGTTAGATGAAAAGGTTTAATTAGAAGATCAAAAGCGCATTTCATATCTTAATCAATGTTAATTTAATTCTGCTTGAGCTATTTTTTCCATACACATTGGAGTTTATTAAAATCTTTTCATATTGTTAACATTTTATTTCTTTCGAAATTAAAGAGATATATATAACAGGCAGCAATTTTTAAAACATAATAATCTAAACTAGTGAAAATGATGGTTTGTACCAAGCATAATCTTTTTGGATTAACACTAATAAAATATTACAAATAAAAAGAACATTAAACTTTTAATACATCTTGCGATAATTATTTATTCTTGCAGTGCATTGCAGCAATACATTATTGCGAAACGCTTTGCGATGATCATTGATAAAAAGAGAGAGAGAGAGAGAGAGAAAGAATGTTGATGTATCGAGAATTTTTTGCTTCCGCGCGCGGATTTATAAAATATCTTGTGGATCATTCGCTGTCCACGACTGTCCAGGTTTTTCGACATTGCGTTAAAAAGCGTTGATGGAAAGTGATTATCGCGGGACCGCTTCCTCCCCCTCGAAATTCCGATTCGGTTGGATAAATCCAAGAAAAAGAAGCGGCAAAAGGCGCGAGTGGCTCGCGAATAGTAAGCGAAGAGCGACGGAAGGAGAGTGAGAGAAAGAGAGAGAGAGAGAGAGACAAGAAAAAGTAGCAGGGTATAAGAAATTCAATTGCTCCGTATAATATCGCGAGAGGGCAGAGAAGCAATCAGAAAAAGCCCGGGGCAATGGCTAAACGATCTGTGCAACGAGTTTATCCATTTGAGACACGGCTCTTCTCACTTCGCTCCGTTAACTTCCTTCGTGCTCTTGTTCCTCCGTAATATTCGCTGCCTTTCCCTTTTGCGCCTTCGTCGTCGCGTTTTTGCATTATTACACTCTGCTACCTTCGACTGCGCTTCGTCCCCGCCCTCTCGCTTTCTCGCCGCGGTCTCTCGTCGTATGTAAATTATTACACGAGCCCTAGCGTGAATTTCCATCGCGATACCACGGCGAGGCCTATTTACGCGTCGCTTCGAACGGTCTTCGGGGTCGATCATTACGGCATTGATAGCGTGCGATACTCCGCGGTGTCGCGACAGTATACTTAATAATAATCGTCGCCGTGTGGCTGCGATTCAAATGTCTCGTTGAGACTGTTGAGATATGAGCATGTGCATTAGTAACGTTCGTCAGGTCTTATTTACGTAGGTGGCACCGACACAACTTTATCGCTCGATTCTGTCGCATCGCATTATTATCGAGAATGAATATGTATTTAATTCATGAATCGTCGATTACAATACGAGCCGGAGATAATCAAATCGGAGTCTGGCAAATGCAACGCGTGATTTTTGTCTTTGCCGTAATTAAATCTGTTCATTGCACATTCGTTCATTGAACGAATTGCTAACGAGAAAATATGAGCCTTTTACTGCATATGTAATTTGATGATATATTGTCATTTTATTAATCTTACCATTTGTGTAAAACAGTTGATATATATAATAGCTGTTACTCCCAAAATACTGAAAGAACGTTTTAAATCAAAATTATATTAGATATCGATTTTAGAGTTGAAGCTATGCATAACTATTTCATAAATAACAAAAGTGTTGAAATCGTCGTGCACTACTGTGGTCTGAATATTATTTGACTGAAAGCGGCGGATTAACCGAAGCAATTCGAGAGTCTCTAACGAGAGACACAAGAGCGATAGGAGATTGCGTGAAAAATACAGAATCGTCGTTTCTCTCCGCCGCGCCGATAGAACTGTACGTGTTTCACGAAAATCGTGCAAAAAAGGTCAACGGCGAGTCCAGTCAACCAGTTTCCAGTATCGCATTAGCTTGATCGAGAATGCTCGTATCTCCGTTCCATCGGCCAGCTTGTCAGCGAGCTCTATCCCGATGAATGTTTAATGTGAATTTAAGGCTCGCTATCGTCCTCCGATGCCCTCTCGAGAAGTCGTCAGCGTCCACCGGTTGTTGTCACGTTTTCGTGCTCGCGATATAAATTCGACTGCCGGCACTGCCCCGCGCCGATCATAGTCACGCGAACAGTGGCGTAGACGGCGGTACACGGCACATCACCCGTAAGGATA